CGCTTCAAACTGAAAGCATTTCTCTTTAATTATATTATTCCTTAACCTAAATCATGACAACTCCATAGAATCAAGCAAACGTTATCAGCCCAAAGCAAACATCTGAAGTGGTTCAACTGTCTGTATACCTTTTCTTTGTACAAAAAGATTGAAACGAACAAAATACTTACTGGTGTCTGTTCTATTTGACCCAGATTTGTTTTAGTAAGAGTTTTACGGCACTTGCAACACGGGTAGGTCATATAAGAAAAGATTCTCTAGTAGAGAATATTTGATATAAGTGCCGAAGATTAGAGGTGTTACAAAACAGTATGATACAAAGAAAAGAAGGAGGGGGGGGATAAGGACGGTAGATGTTTGATAAGTAAGAAGGAGCTAATCACACCAGTTTGATCAATTCACAGGAACTTGTGTGTTTGAGTAAAGTGAAAAACATTGACAAGATAAGGGTTACCTGGTGCTGAGGAAAGAACATGACAAAAAAGAAGAAAAAAAGAGAGAGAGAACGAGGAAAATTAAAGAAGTAACGGCCAGCGAAGAACATACATATACATACAAGGGTAGACACAGAGCAACTTATTTGGAAAGCCTACACAGACAGGGGAAAGGTCAGGATAATAAGTATAGCTTCTTTGAGAGCATCCGAGCTAAAAGAATGAATGGCGAACCATGATCGCTGATGTCTGCCGCAGATCCGGCACTTGATGATGATACAAGCCTAGAACTTGAAGAAACAGAAGGGGCACACCACACCAGACGAATCAACAACCACCCACAACAGAATGTGATTAGATTTTTTTAAAAGTTTTGTTAAGTGTTTTACGGCACTTGCAACACAATCAGATTATAATATATAGTGCCGAAGATTAGAGGTGTTACAAGAGAGTAACAAACACAAATAAGGAGGGGGAGAGATCAGGACGAGAGATGTTTGATAGGAAATAAGGAACAAACCACACCAGAGCACCCGCCAACCACACACAAAATGCGACTATTAGAGACAAACAATACTAGAACTTGAAGAAATAGACGGGGCACACCACACCAGACCGATCACCAGGCACCCACAACAGAATGAGATGAACAGTAACAACCAAGACGAGAGGTAAACGAAGCAGGCCACACATGAAGCGTCAAAATTATCATGATCCACTGAAAAAAGCAAAGTTGTAAAAACATTTGAAGAAACGAAACGAAGACATACCGTGAATGCCAGCTAACAACCGTCCTTTCCACACACATACCAACGAAATGTGTGGTGGGAGAAACCTCGGGTACAATTCCGTGAGACAGCAGACGACAATAGCCTATCCACACAGCAGACGACAGACACTCCTCGCATCGTACAGCAGACGAGACTACCCGCGCAGCAGACAGACGGGAGCGAGTGACGGGCGACAGGGGAGTGAGGTCCCCTTCCCTCTCATCGCTCCGCGCAACAGCTCGGCGGGGATATCGATACTATTTAGCAACGAAGTACATTTTGTTGTAGCAAAGATCGTACATAACAAGATAGTTCACTCCTCTCTTTGAGCCAATTAATTTTAAAAAGTGTCTTCAAAATCCGGTGGCGCATATTTCGAAAAAGCACGGACTTTGCAAACATTGTGCTATTCCTTTTTTACTTCTGGAGAAACGAAAGAGTTTGCCCGTGGAAGGGTTCACGACACGAGACAGGGTAGAAATAGAGGGGCCTCCTCGTATTAATTACAGGTGGTCGTGGGGTGATTTGTATAAGGTCGGGAGAGAGGAGGGTGTCTACGTGTGTGTGGATTGGAAGGGGGGGG